TGCCAGCAGCTCACCAGTGCTGTCTGATTTCGAGCTTAAGAAGGCGGTAAGCGTTCTTCATCTCCTTTCCAACAATTCTGACTTGTCAGTTTCCTGCACTGATTTTCCAGCACTTCTTCGGTGAGTACACACGTTTCGTACGCTACAAAGGTCCCGCCGTTATTTCTCTTTTTCTGCACGTTGTTGGTAGTGCTTTCGGGGAGCATGTGTGTCGCCCTGCTTCAGAACTTCGTCAGTTCCTGTTTTTATTTCATTCTTATTAAAAGTATGAATTCTTAATCAGAAAGCATTTTGTGATTAGGATATGCAGCGCGAATCGATCTTTTGCACTGATTGGGCTTGGGGTGCAGCACTGGGCTGCTTTTCGGAACTGAGCAGTAGCAGAGTGAGGGTGTTTTGCATTCGTTGAGTAGCTGTGTCAGTGTGGAAACTTGCTATCAGTAGTAATTGTCACTTTGTTAGTGCTGTTGAGCTTCCGCTTCGATTCGGGCTTTGGTCATGAAACATGGCAGCAGGCATAATGGACGATAGGTGCGGCTCTCTTCGCCGTTTCCGTTCTTAAGCGACGGTGCTCTTTTGTCTTTCTCTGTGTGTGTCTCGCTTTGCCTGTGGTGCCAGGTAAACTTTGAGCTGGGCATTTTTGTTGTCGTCATTGTACAGGATCGGATTTTGGTCCAGTTGACTTGTTCTGGGAATGCATGTACTGTATTTCTGTAGTGAAGGGAGGACGTGAATTGAGAACTGCGCGTTGCAAGAAAAAAGAAAACACGCTCTAAAAATTGTTGCTGTTTTTTTGCGTGCACTTTTCCAGACTTCTGTTTTGTTCACAGAGGCTACTTTTCGACCGCAGCTCTTGTTACACCTCTCTAATTGTTGCTTTTCTTTTCCTGCCGCTTTCCATAGCTTTCCCGGTGGAAGACTGTAGTACTGGCTTGTCATCCTTCAACGCTTCTTGCGCGCAAGCTTATCTCATGCCCAGATTACTTTCGCCTCTTGTTCCCTTGGGCATTTCTCTTGCTCTCGTTTGCACCAGTATTGCTGTGGTGGTATCCTAGTTCTGGAGTTCAGCCACTTACAGGAAGCAATCGGAGGCGAGCTACGTTGGCTTCGTTTGTTCTAAAAAAATGAATTGCTTGAGGTTCAACTCATTTCCATGGTATTCTTTTGGAAATTTGCCTTTACAGAAGTTTGCGCGAATTTTGGTGATTTGCAGAAATGTCACGTCGATCGGACCCGCTGGATTGCAAGGTTTATGTTGGTGGCCTGCCTCAGGATGCAACATCTCAAGAGGTGCGCAGTTGTTATTGTTTAGCAGTTCATGCATGTATTTAGGGTGCGACATCCCTTGCGCCGATCAGTGATTTGCAAGTATGAAGCTGGATGGTGTATTGAGGCGGTTTCATTAGCGCACCGTCATCGTTTGTCCATTTAATGTTTGTTAGCTACCGAAGTACAATGTTTTACGGCGGGTGTGTACTGTTTAGAGTGAATCAACGCGATTGTTTTTGGCCTGGAAGCTGCTGCTTGTAGATCGTTCACCTTGCACAGTGCTGTAAACCAGTTAGCTTGCTCACCGGTCAGGGCGGAGTGTGGTTTGAAAAAGCTGCTAACTGGACATTTTCATGTTCGAATGTTTTTGCCGTACTTCAGAACTGAAGTCACGAAATGCAAAAAGCTGATTTTGCACTCGTAGTTAAAACTTATTCTCTACAGAATAAAAGCCTGGTCTTGCGCACGCATTCGTAGTCTCAAAGTATCATCTTCCCTACGCTGCCCATTGTTTTCCTGATTTCACTGTATTTATGACTGTTCATACACTTCATGAAGAGATAGTGCATTGAGATAGTAAGAGCGGTTGGTACTAGTTGGAAACTTGAGATCCTAACATGGCTGAACTGTCGCAGCATCGTCAAGAACTCGGGCGGTGTGGTTATTTTGTAATGCATCAGCGGAAGTTTAAGCAAATACCACGGAACGTTGAGGGAAATTAGGGACGAAGTACGTGTTTGTTTCGTTGTGTTGCCGTCGATAGCCTGTGGTTAAAAATCTGATGCGATAACAGGTTTACAATAACAAGAAATCTTTGGCCTATGTAGCATATCAAAAAACAACTTGTCCACGTACGATAAGGCCAGGGGATGTGTTATGCATTTTGAGCGGGGTGGGTTTAGTCCTGTGTACGCATTTGGACATTCTGTGTTTGCACTGTGTTCTTTCAGCTCGAAGATGCATTCAATCGTTTTGGCCGCATTCGTAAAGTTTGGGTTGCGCGCCGACCGCCAGGATTTGCTTTTGTCGAATTCGAAGATGCACGAGATGCTGAAGATGCGGTGAAAGCTTTGGATGGCACGTGAGTTTGCATTGTTCGCTTACTTCTTTGTTAAAGTGCAGAATGTTGCTGTAGTATCTTCCTCTTCTCAGGAATTTTGAAAGTAGTTGTAAATGGCTTGGCGCTTCAGAGCGGTGCGCACATTTAAGATACACTTCTCAATTCACTGATTAGCGAGCACTGATTTTGACTGGGAGGGAGAGAAGGATTGAGGTAGAGGCCTGAAGTAAAAACAGTGAGAAAAATGGCTGTAAGTGTTGCATGTGCACTGTGCGTATGCGCTAGTGCAGTATACTGTGAGATTCTCTATCGACTGGGGAGAACTTTTTAAAAAACGCCATTTTGGCGTCCCTATGTATTTGTTCTTGTTTTTCTGAAAAGTTTCGCTGATACAGAAACAAAGAAGTGGAATATTTTCAGACGCATTTGTGGTGTTCGCGCTCGCGTTGAAATCTCGCACGGTCGACGGCGCAATGGCGGTTACAGTGGTGGTGGTGGAGGCGGGGGAGGTAGTGGTAGTGGCGCATACTACGAAGGTGGTGGCCGGCGTCGTTCGAGGTATGCTTAACCTATACCAACTTTTTATCGGTT